CTCTCTCTCTCTCTCTCTCTCTCTCTCTCTCTCTCTCTCTCAGAACATATTATTATCCCAGTCTCAGGAGGATTAAGAAATACCTTGATAAATAGCTAATTTTATGAAATAAAAAGCTTTTGGCACATTCCCAGAAAAGTAATTACTCCCATGTGGATCCCAAAAATTTGCAGAGTCTCTGATTTCAAATGAAACAAGCAAATATTTAATAGAAACTCTTCCTTTTGTTGTTGTAGCATGTACAATAAAGTAAAACGTAAGAGACCAAAAACAACTATATGACACAAATACATATGACCTATAGCCCAAGAACACATTCACAAAGAGTAGATGTGTGTGATAAGTAGAAAAACCAATCTTGGGGCCATTCTCTACAGATAAAAACTCAAAGGAAATGAAAAAAAGTTTTCAACTCTTAACAACCATATGAAAGAATGCTCAAAGTCACTGATAAGAGAAATGCAGATCACCACAACTATGCAGTTTTACCTCAGACCTAAGAAAATATGCAGAGGACAAGATAGGAATAATACATGTTGGAGGTTGTAGAAAAAGAGACACAATAATGTGCTGTTGATGGAGCTGTAAATTGGTCTAAATGTTTTGAAAGGCAATTTGGAATTATGCAAAGAAAGGAACGAAAATGTTCTTACCCTATAATCCATAGATTCCAATGTTAGATATATACACCAAAAATAACAGAAAAAAGGCCTCATATACATCAAAACATTTATAGCAGTACTTTCTATAGCAGCAAAGAACTGGAAACAAAGTAGATAGTAGATGCCCATCTTGGAATGGCCAAACAAACTGTGGTACACTGATGTATTGCAAAATTACTGTTATAAGAAATGAATACTATGATGACTACAGAGAAGTATGGAATGGCTCATATGAACTGATGCAAAGTTAATGAATGAATATCAAAGTATTTATTAAAAACACTTTCTACGTGCCAAGCACTCTGGTAAGTACTAGGGATAGAAGTAGAAAAAATCAGACAGTCCTTACTCTCAGAGGAAATAACACATAACAGAGTTCAATTGCAGAGTGGATGGAAAGATCCAGAAATCCTAAGGATGCATGAGTGGGGCAGATGGCAAAGCCCAGGGGTCTTTTGGGCGCCAATCAGAGCTCAGATGGGATTGCTTAGAGGTCTGGTGGCACAGTAGCAGAGTAAATGGTGATATCCATGCATGGCAGGGCAATGAATGGTAAGGCCTGTATGTCATCCAAAGGTAGAAGATGGTGAGCTTTAGCTCATCCAAGCACAGTGAGCAGCCACGTCATTCTTCTTGCCTGGTGCTCCATGGAATCTAGGCAGTCCAAGCAGACAACAGAAAAGCAGTTCATGAACTGTACCCTTATCTATGGGTTTTTATACTAACCAATCAGAGGACTGCAACAGGTGAGTACACCAGTTTTTCTACTGCCATTGTATCTGGGTACCATACTTCCCAGATATTTCATGACGACTGACGTACCCTGACCAGGACTGTGAGAGTCCTGTGTGATGAGCAACATATTTCAAAATATTCCCTCTCAGTGAAATAGCACAGAATAACCTCTCCATAGCATAAATGAATTTAATATGAAAACTACCTGGGTAGGTAATTATATCACATTAGCTATTGTACTAGAGCAAATCTAGAAAACTGTGCATAGTCTGTTATCATCTATTATGTAGAGATGCCCCAGAATAGGCAGTGCAGTACAATGGATTGGCCCAGCTTTTCACATCTAACCTCATAGCCTAACCTCTGTGAGCCTCAGGTAACTTATCTACGAAATGGGAAGGATCATACTTTCACTGTGTACCACACAGGATTACTGTAAGAAAAGTGTTTTGCTATAAAGCAATAATAGTAGTTCATTTATACAATGATAGGGGAAGTGGTCCCAGAACACTCTCTATAAGCCATTCTTACCCATACCTCCATACCATACCTCTAACCCAAAATCTCACTGGAGTTGCAGTCTTGTCATAACTAACAAGAGTCTCTCACTGTAGCATTTCTTATAAAGTAACGGCAGCAGGGAGATAAAGGTATTGAGTATTATGCTCCCAGTGGCAAGGTAAGCCAACAAGCATTAATGAGGTTTACAAAGCAAAAATACAGGAAAGGGAAGGCTCCAGGGAGGATTCATAATGTTGGTTCATTCTCTTTCCTGGACCAGAGTTAAAGATCCATTTCCTTATATTTATGCATCCTTTTCTTCCTAAAAGTTACCCTCATCTGGGCTAAAATTTCTAACCTCTAATTCCACTCTCTGACAACAGCCTCCTACTGTTTACCTTTCAATCTCATGGTCCATCTCTCTTCTCCCAACCCATCTCCCTATTCCCAAACAGCTTCACTTGTTTACATTATCATCTTTGACCTGAGATAAAATGGTCAGCCATTTGAATGTTTACTGCCTACTACCCTAAAGTTCTTTGACCTTAATAGTCTCCCTTCTGCATCTCACTCCTCTACTCACACAATTTTTGCCAGGCTCAAAAGCCAAATTCTCATCCCTGGGTAACCCCTACTATTCAATGTTTCTACTGCTAAATAGCTTCTGAGTGTTGCTGGAAAAAACAAGTCAATTTTACCTGTGCCAAGTTCTTGATATATAAACTGGGCCCTAACTTATTGGTGTGATGGATAGACCATTAGATTTGGTGTCAGACAGACCTGGGTTCAAATTCCAACTTGGCCACTTAATAGCTTTGTCACCTTAGTCAAATCATTTAATGTCTGAGCTTCAGTTTCCTTTTCTATAAAATGAGATTTGGAACCTATGACCTCTCAAATCTCTTCCAGTTTTAAATTTATGATCCTATGATCTACAATGCTGAACAATCCTTCTCTTCTAAATTTTATTAACTCCTGAAGTTCATTCTTCACAATGACTGCATTAAACTTTTTTTTTTTAATGGGAACAGGGGAGAAGATGAAGTTGGAGGGGGGTAAGCACCAATGACTGCATTGGTATAGAGAATTCTTGATCAGGAAACTAACTTTCAATGAATACTGTGATACTGTCACAAAAATATTATCCTACTTTTTAAATGAGCTAAAAAAACACAAGTAAAACCAATGAAAATGAATTTGGTTTCTACTTCATGGCTATTATATCAGAATAAAAGTGAGGAAGAAATGAGGGAAAAACTGGAAACAGATGACCCTTAGCACAAGGTCAATATGCCTTCATCTCAATTTTGTCCTTATCCTTGATACCATACCATACCATACCATACCATACCATACCATACCATACCATACCATACCATACTTGTGATAACTTGGGGTAGGTATAATAGGAAGTAAGATAAAATGTCAATGGTATGATAGAACACAAAATATTTGCTAGAGGAAAATCTGTATTTTATATCAAAAAAACCCCAAATATCAAAGCAAGAACAAAAGTTTCTTTTAAATTATTCTTAAATAAGGGGAAAAAGAAAAGTCAAACATTTAGAAATCCTATCTCCTCACTCCCTCCTTTCTTACAACTCCAAATGATTTTTTTTACTTCTTTCAATAAAAATATCATTGACAAATCTTCAGTCTGTTGCAATTTTGAGTAATGAAAAGTATAAATTCTCAAACGTGATGTTTATAATTACTGCTGACAGTCACTTTACAATAACAGTACTAGTGGGTACCTCTATTACATAAACACACAATTTTGTTCTTTTGAAATTAAAAAGATCGACAGACTTTAAAAGTTGAGAAATGCTTGCAAAAAATTAAGCCAAATGGTAACTTAATCAAGGAACTTTAAAAAAACACTTCAACATTGTGCTTGCATGAAATTCCTAAATGTTCTGTGTGCCACAGAGTGTTTCAGCACGCTCCATCAAAATATAAACAAAAAACACATGACAGAAACACATGACAGTGTCCTGACTGATTAAAGTGCTTCTGGCTGGCATTAGAAAGCACTTAGCTCACAGCAGTGGATTAGTGACAGAAGAACTGCTCCATTACTACCAAGCACATCAAAGTCAGAATATAAATGCAAATATATATTTAAAATGTGCTTTTTAAAAGTACAACTTCTCGGATAGGAACATGTATCTGAAGCACTCATTTTATGTGACTTAGAAAGCAAACTACTAGGGGTCATATATTTTTATAATAACCAAAATTATATGTGTTATGTCTTTGTAACAAGCCTGCAGAATCCAGTTCGTGATTTTAAGGTAAATGGATAAAAACTTCTAACATTTTTCCCTCTGTCAAACATCTACGAAAATACGCATAAACTAACTGATGAACAATATAGGACAACTTATCATCATGATCTCCAAGAACTCAACTCCTTTTATTTTTCTAAGTTATATACCGAGCTATTTTCCTAAGATACTAAAAAAATGAGGCTCTATTGTGTATCTACTTCTGCATGTCTAAATGAGCAAATTGCACAAGTCTACAATGTTGTCATTTTGTTTTTTAAGTAAAGAGCAATAAGAAACTAAGTTGCCCTGTAATTCATGGATCTGAAATCAAATAAATGTTGCAGCTACTTCTATATACCTACTTCTTAGTGATGGTAGAAGATAATCTCCCTAAAAAGCCAATGAAAGAGTATACAAATTAGTATGGGACCAGAAATCCAAAAAAAAAATGCTAAAAATAAGGAATGGCATTCTGCACCTTATCAGTATGCTTATCTGTTTGTGCTTATCAGTAATAACTGCTAGCATATGCATCATGAATTTACACTGATAGGCATAAAGAACAAGGAAAGGCTTTAAAAATTTGATACTATAATGTGTATGTTTCATATCCTTCCCTACTATCCACTAAACACGACTGAGAGGACAGTAACTGTCAAAGTATTATTAATGATAATAAGGTTACATTTTCCATTGTCACTGAAGTACTCATATTTATTACTGCACTAATGTCTTTAGGTCACACGTACTTATTTAGAGTGCCACAAGACAGAGGAGTCAATCTTATCCATTAATACAAAAACATTCACCTTAGAGAGCAAACTCTTCTTACCTGTTTATCTTTTGGATTCTGGCCTGTGGGACTCCTGCTGTCTTTGCTTTCATCCACTCCTCTGAGAACACTAATGAAATCTTTCTTGGTGACAGTCGACATCAACTTTGCACGTTTTCTCACAGAACCTCCAACTTCTTTCATTTTTTCGTCAACATTCTTCTGGTGCTTCCGAACAGCATTGAATAACTGCACCACACCCCTGTGGATTAGGCAATCCCCCCATTCTAATTAAGTAATAATAAAAGGCAATTACAACCAGAAAACTGTACTTGGGTGTATTTTTTTTTTAAATTCTAGCTACCATTTTTTTCCAAGTCAAAATCTGGTGCTGTTAAAAATGAAAATCACTGGGGCAGCTAGGTGGCGCAGTGGATAGAGCACCGGCCCTGAAGTCAGGAGTACCTGAGTTCCAATCTGGCCTCAGATCAAACACTTGACACTTACTAGCTATGTGATCCTGGGCAAGTCACTTAGTCCCAACTGCCTTAAAAAAAAAAAATTAAAATCAGTATTAGAATGAATTATGTGGTTTTCAAAGTATAAATGGTATGCTGGAATTTAACTTGTATGTTAACATTAGGCTATTCATTATCGATAGTAATTGAAGAGTTATGTAATATTTCAATGGGTCTGTGACTTTCTAGACATGGATATTCTCTGTACCAAAGTCAATAATAAACCTTCATGTCATTCTTTGTGATTCTTGTCAATATTTTTCCATTTTGTTTAAGGTCTTTCTCTTGATCTTTTTATATTTTATGGCAAACAGATCTGTTTACCTGTTTACCTGCTCATACCACATGACCAAATGACCAACCTCCTACTCCACTGTTCTCCAGTAGGGTTGCTTAGGAGAACCTGTGCACAATTTGATAAGTCTTTCCAATCCACTCACTATGATTACAGAGCTTAGACCTTTATCAGAAGTGGACATCTGTCATTTAACTAGACATCCTCCTAGCCCCTTGCAGGGACTTTTAGACTAGAGTTTTGGAAATGGGAGCAGTAAGAAATTTATCTCCCCATTCCAACACCAAGGGTGACTTAGAGCAAAAGCATGTGGCCATGGTAGACATGGTTATTCACAAAAGACAGAGATTAGAGTTTCTGGGATCTTGAGTTCCAGATACCTTTCTGTTTCCTTTTCTAAGTGATGTCAGTGATGAGAGTCATTGAGAAATTGACTTTTCTAGTCTTGGAATGGATACCTAATGAATAGTCCTGAGTCCAAGATCTGGGCACCAGACAACTGGAGGGAAAAACCTTCCAGAACAGCACACTTTAAGGAGGATCCTATAGCTGAAGGGCTGCCATGCATGGGCAAGAAATCTGGACCCTGCCAACCCTCCACGAAAAATTAATATAGAATGCTCAGACTGTTATGAGGTGAATAAAAATACTTGTTTAGTAGTCCTACAAGGGTCTTTATTTTCTGGAGAATGACACACAACAGACTTTTCAAATGGTTTATATCTGTATGTCTTTAGGCTCCCCTTTGAGCCCTTTTTGTCTTATACATTTTCTCTAGTTGAGGAAATAAAAATTGGTCCATTCCCAATACGTCTATTATGTACTGTGTACCTTTATGAGAAAAGAGACTCTGTCATCCACACATGAGTCATATATCTATAAGCTTTTCTTTAGCATTTTCCTGGAGAAATCCTGATGAGACATTAACAAGGAAGAAAAATTAAACCCTTTTGGGTCAGGTCCCCAGAACTGAATCTAGTCAGTGTGAGCCAGTCACCTGAGAGGAAGAGGATGGGTAGGTCTGAGCCATGGGGTAAAATACATTTCCTCATTGGTTTCCTATATACAACTTGTAGAGCAAAGGTCTTTATTAAATATGTGCTTCAGCTTATTTAAGTCAACCATGAATTCCTGCACTGTCCTTTAGATCATCTCCAACTTTAAGCCTTTGGTAGTTGTAATAGTATAAAATTCACAACTTTAGAACATCACAGGGGACACCTGTTTCAAAAAAATGAGTCTTTACAATTTCAAAGAAATAAACCTGGTCTGTAGTTTAAAGTGCTTTGTTTAAATTTTAACTTAAACGTTTTTTTTCCTCCACTTAAGTGTTTTTGTTTCTTTTTCTGATGTGAATGAAATCATTTTTTAGAAATCATTTCTGAGGATTCTTCTTACTGGGTCAATCTGTGTCCAAGGGAAATGAGCTGCCACTGTTGCAATGGATCACTTCAGTTACTATTTATGTCATCAATTCAACATCCACAGCAAGTCTTGCACCCTTCTCTCTATCCAACTGGCTACTCCTCTAGTTTGGGTTCTCATCATCTCTCACCTACACCATTATGTGAGGCTCCCAATTGGTCTTGCTATCTCAGGTTGCCACCTTCTCCAATCTATATTTCATACACCTTTCCAAGGGATTTTTTCATAAAGCAAAGGTTTGACGATGCCACTCTGTCCTATTCAAAAAACCCTAATGGCTCCCTATTATCTTTAATTCTTGGAATAATTCCCTCCTCAATGGTTTCTTCCTTCAAGACACAAGCTCCATCTTCCATATGAAGCTTTTCTCATTCTCCTCCCCACACACCTTGCTTGTGCCCTCTCCCTCATAGTACTTCGTATTTAACTACTTTACATGTATTTGTAATTTTTTTTTACATTCATTCTGTCTATACTATATATGTCCTTGTGGTTTCCCTTGTTGCAAATGGAAATGGCTAGCCTGATCACTTTCTCAACATAGAGGTTTTGTGAGGAATTTACCAATTGGAGGAAGGGGTCACAGGAATCTTCTAGGGTGAGAACACTCTAGGGAGGGGCAGAAATTCAGAGATTCAGGAGCAGGGCAATACAATAACTACGTATTATTCCATTTATGTAAGTTATTGTCTAGCTAATCCTCTAGCCTTCTTTCTACTCACACACAACATTCTAAGTCTCATCTTCTCATCTTCATGGCACAGAGTATCTTCCATGCCCAGAGGGCATTCCTTGCTCACCTCCACCTCTCAAAATCCCAAGTTTCCTTTAAAGCTCAGCTCCAGCTGCACTTTCTGTGTGAGGTCTTTCCTGATCCTTCCAGATGATAACATCTTCCCTTCACTTTCACGCTGCCTAGGTATTTATATTGTTTATATTTATAACACGCATGTTGTCTTTTGCATAGCAAATTAAGTTTCTAGAGGGCAGGTAATATCTTCTTTTGTGGTTATTTCTCCAGTCTCACAAATAGTTGGTGTTTAAAAATGCTTGTTGACTGACTGATGGTCAAAAAAAAAATCACTATTTACAAACAAGGCATGGAGAAAGAAAAAGGAGGGAAATCTTTTCCTCAAAAAAGAAAAAAAAATCTCAATGGTTCCATGAATGAATGAATGAATGAATGGAAGGAAAAAGTATTTCATCATTATAGATTCCAGCTCCACTCCAGCACAAATCACAATCCCTCCACAACCCATTCTTATCTGTGCCATTATCATCCATGTCATCACAGAAATCTTTCAAAGGCTAATTCTAATGCCCCAAAGGATGCACTATATTTATTAAATAATATGTCCAGGATATGAGGACAGCCCTAGAGCAATTCATTCATCTGTGACTCATTATTCATCCATTCAACCATTCCTCCATCTACTCTATTCCCTTTTCCAGTAATATCTACTCAATGAGATATTTTGCTCAGTTTTCATGTACAAACCACTGTTGGTACCATGCTGTAAACTACTTACATTTACTACATGCCTTTTGGTTTCCCAGTGTCTCCAATTCTCAATCATTTCCAGATTTGACATGATTCTTTTAACCAGAGAATTAACAAAGGAAATACAAGAGTTAAAAATGGGACTTCTGCAACAGCAGGCAGCCCAAGTAGCACGTATTGTCATGTGTTGTAGAGGTAGCTACGTGACGCAACAGATAAAGCTCTAGACCTGGAGTCAGAAGACCTGCAATCAAATCTAGCCTCAGGAATTTTTTTTTTAAACAAAACCAAAAAAATCTAGCCTCAGAAACTTACTAGCTGTGAGACCATGAGCAAGTCACCTAACCTCTGTCTGCTTCAGTTTCCTAGTATGTAAAATGATGACAATAATTGCACCTAACTAGCACTGTTGTTGTGAGGATCAAACGAGATGATATTTGTAAGTGCTTAGCACAGTGCTTGACATAGCAGACACTACAAATACGACTTTCTTCTCTTCCCCTCCTACCCCTTTCCCTTGTCATAAACATAAACCATAACAATAACTAGCATGAATTGTAACAAGATTGAGATTAATGAAAATGGTAGGCATTTTCCCCAACATAATGCAACCTAAGCTTCTCCTCCTGCTACTATTCAATTCTTGGCCCAGCATTCTAACAACTTATAGAACTTAATATATATACTAATGGTTACCCATCCAACCACATATCATAATCTAGACTATACATATTCTTCATCTATGCTAAGTTAAATGCTCAATTCAACCCTCCTTTCACTTTCATCTACAAAAATTCTCGTGCTGACATCTTAGCAAGGTCTCACATCAACCTCCTGGCGGACTCATAGTCCCCATAATCACTTTTTTACCTTTTTTAGCATAAGAAGATACAATCTGTTAGTCTCCTCTGCAATGTTTTACAAAAAAAAGTTAGTTTCTAAATTTGAATTGACCTGCCATGTGTTTGGCAAGGAAATGTGTTTGCTGACTGAAACAGTTTTTGAGAACAGCCTCCTCCTTGTGATTTCTGTATGGTACTGTTAAGTTTCCCTAAGAAACTGTGATAGTCAATAGTCATCTTTTTTGGCCATTTCTCAGTCCTCTGCTGATAGCTGGTTTAATCAGACTGGGTGCAATATAATTTCATGAGTTATCATCTTCTCATCTTTATCCTTTTTCTCCCTGTTCTGTTACTGATTCTGAACTTTGCTCGAACTAGTAGGCAGTTTGACTGCACCGACACAGCTGATTCTGAAATTACTGAGGAACCAGATGTCTCTTGCTATTTTTATTTTTTTTTATAATTTGTTGCTTAGCTTCTCTGACTAGTCTTTTTCAAGAAAGTATTCATGACATCAAGTACATTCAAGCTTCTGAGTAGTCTACAAGCTTTTGGACTCTTTCACCTTTTTGTCCTAAAAACTGTATTTTTAACACTACTTTATACCATACTGTCTTGTCTCTATCTTCACAATGAAGTTACCAAATATCAAATTAATGATAACTTAAGTTTGGAGGATATTACCAAGTTCTTCACAGAATTTCTCTAACTTTTGATGCATAAGTTAAAATTATATTTATGATGACCTCTTTGTTTTTACTCCTCATAAGCACTGCATGAGAAAGGCAATGTAGTATATCACTGAGAACAGGACTGAGTTGGCAGACTAAGGTTTGATTTACCACTCTGATACTTATTAGATATGTACCCCAGTTTTCTCATCTACAAAATGGAGTTAACAATAATTCATTATTTCAATCAGATGTGTTTTAAGAAAAGTCTTTGTAATTCTGCAAACCTAAAAGTGCTGAACTATTACCCCAAGTCAAAAATGGTTGAGTAATTATCCCATTAAAAGATGTTTCTTTTCAGATGCACAATAAAACCAACTCTGTCAATTCCAAATTGCCTGTCCAAGAAGAATGTGTGAGTAGCCCTTCCATTTAGTTGCAACTTCCAAGTCTGGCTTCACTTAAAGCAAGCGTCAATATGGGTGTTCTACACACAAGGTGAGGAGTAGAATCCCCTACTAATCTTAAACAAGTTGCTGAAACTTTCTGGGCCTCAGCTTTCTTCAGCTATAAAATGAAGAGTCTGAAAGAGATGAACTCTAAGGCCCTAACCAGTTTTAAAGGGCCCATGAGAAAGATGACTCTCACTCGTATTAAAATAATTGTCATTATGTTCAGAATAAAATCAGTGTAGTATGTGCTTAATATGAACATAATCCACAGAAAAAAGATGAGTAGTATGAATTTGGTGATCCATTTCAAGAGAAATACGAAAACATGATAAAAAATAAAAGACTGTTCATGCAAGTGAGCACTAAGCAAATTACATATTCTTGTGTAAATTCTAGTATTTTCATAAGACTTAAGAAATCTTTGGTTAAATCCAGTACCAAATAAACAGACTTATGTATAAATCATTTGGCTCCTGGTAGTCACTTGTTAAGAGTTAAATCTAATTAGAAACAGGTTACCTGCCCTAGTTTTTATATATCTATTTAAAAAAGCACAAAAACATTTTCTTACCTGTAGCAATTCTCTGAAGATTTCTCTCTACTTCTTTGTCTTTGACAACATCTGGCTTCACTCTGCACATCATTTCCCATTCCCTCTTCTTATCAAGCTGTGTTATAAATATTGTTACGTGAAAGAACATTAGACATTTTTGAAAGTATAGCATACTTCGATATGATACTCTGAAAAGGGACAAAGGTAATAAATCACTTTGGCTTAGCTTGCTGCTGAGGTTTTAAAAACCTGCATTTTTAGGGGTTCAGCTCACAGGGCCTGTGGTTAGCACTCAGCTGTGTCACACAAAGACTATCAAGTGAGTTTCTATCAGGGCCTTTGCTTCTTTGGACAGCAGGGGCCTAGAGGGCTGCCAGTATATTTAGCCATGTAAGGCAGAGCAGGGTGTGAGGTAAGTAAGTACCCCACATCAACTCAGCAGCCCTCTGGATGATCTGAGAACAGGACCGCTATATCTACTGGAGGATCAAGAGTCATATCTTCATCAAAGTTTAAAAAAAACATCATTATGAGTACATACCAAAAGGACTTAATGCAGGGTACTTAACCTGTGTCCATGAGTTGGCTTGCTTTAACCCCAATACTTTGATAACTGTATTTTAACATAATTGGTTTCCTTTGTAATCCTACTATTATATGCATTTAAAAACATTATCCTGTAGTTTTCACCAGACTGCCCAAAAGGTTCATAACACGATGATGGGTAAGAACTCCAGCCTAGACATTCATCAAAATTCAGAATCCTAAGTACTTTACAACTCTGAAAAACTGAAGTGGATCTGGTATTTCTGACTTGAAAGTTCACGTCAACAATGCAGACTACAACACATCCACGCTTGCTCATCCTGTGAGACTTCTGTCTCCTCCTATAAGTTTACCACAGAGAGGTTCTTCTATGTTCCAGAGACCTTTACTAATTCCTTCTGACATCACAAGGGTGCCATTGGGAATTTCTGGTTGTCCAAATCTCCTCTTGCCCTCACAAGGTGAAAAGTCAATCTTCTCTTGTCATACATTTCCCTCATGATATCATTGGCTCTTCTTCTTCTTCAACACCTGTACGTCTTGACCTGCTCACCTCCCCATCATCCTAGGTGACATTCACTTAAAAATTCTTCATAACCAACTACATTCTTTGTCTTATGGTCATATAGCAGTACAGCTAGAATGCTAGTATTAAAAAGATGGGATTTTGTTTCATTAGGTTCACTAGAGGACTTTGCAATTTCCTATGGGCAATCTAGCCTCCTCTTGTTCAACTCTGGCTTCAACTTGTTGTCCATCTGTACTGTCTGTCTGTCTCACATATATATCCTAATGGACAAGCTCTATAGGCTGCCCAACCAATTGTATGTCGTCATCACCTGGGCAATAATATTTCTTCATCCACTTAAGTTTTTCCTATGTGGATAGTAAGGCCCAACTCTTTTGAATTGTTACACCTCTCTTTCAGGAAAATTTGCAGCACTGTAGTGTTCCAGTTGATGCACCAGTACAAGGTTATTCAAAACAGAAGCATCTAAAGGACCTCACAATCCACAGCAAAACCCTTTTCAACTAGAGCTCTACACTAAATTTCCATAACAGCATCAAGGTGGCAAACATTTTTTGGCCAGTACACCTCTCCCTATCTGCCTGACTTCTCTCTGAAGTAAAGCATACTAATTTCCCACCCCCATCCCAATCACATAGTATCCCACTTAACTGCCACATAGCATTCTATGATACAATCAAAAATCAACAATCTGCCTTGATGAAGGGAACAAAGACCTGGATGGGTCAAAAAATAAAATGTATTTTACTTTGTAATGTTTTTCAAGTGGGTAAAATTCTGGAAACTTAAGATACTTTCACATTTAAAATTAAGCCACCCTTTATAAATTAAACTAAGACAAAGACAGAAAGCCTTTCAGGCTTCTCCACCCTGTCTCCAATTTTGGAGATCAATTATTCTATTTCCATGATGAGAATAAACAAATCTTTTAACAATTCAAAGCACATTGCAAAAGAAGGTTGTCTGTCTCTCATCCCTTTAACCTTGAAAACTTTCAAGCTGTTCTCACCCTCAATGGAATTTGAGGTAATGATGAATTCTTATATAAAACAAAACAAACCACCACAATGTTCTTCCAGCTGACAGGCAAGATAAGATTCAGATTCTATTCCCTTCAGCAAGAATGTAAAAGCAAAATTTGTTTAAAAAAAAAAAAACTACAGTGAAGATGAGCCCATGGTTGTGTCTAACAGAAAAACAAATTCAGAGTATCCTCTATATGTAAGACGGAAGATTTTTGCCACTCTAGAGTCTCAAATACAGCAATTGGCATTATAAACATAAATATGGCAAAGGGTCAGATGCTTTACCAAGCATGGAGGTCCTGAGTGACCCTGTGAATTTTCTAATTTTCTTTTTTTTTTAAAATACACAGCTTTCTTTGTAAAAGCCCTTTACATTACCATAAGGGGACTCTTTACAAAATTCCAATACAACAGTGCAAAGCTGTCTTTCTTCGACAGAAAACTAGCAACATCTTTTGGAAAATCCAATATTTCACATAGTCAACTTTCATCACCAAGTATGAAAGAGATTTTTAAAAATCTTCATAAAACTATGGTGTATTTATAATAGCCACCAGAATATAAATTCATGAGTTTATGACCTAGTTTTGGCCTCTGATCAAAGAACTACATTTTTTAAACTTCTACTGGCATTGATGTAATGAAAGGCAGACTCTGTTCAAGTTTATCTAGCAGTGAACAAGTCAAGTTCACAAAATTGCAAGCCACCTCTGATTTGTGGGGCCTCACATGTTAATCTTACAAAATACATTTTCAACTCAAGAGAATAACCAACCTGCTATCCCTTGGAATACACAGTGAATTAAAAAGGTCATTTCAGAATCAAGTTCAGGAAACATATGCACAGCTCAATGAATAACTTATTTATTGCCAGGAACTAAAATTTTAGCTCTAAACTGGGTCATTTATATGTTTATAAACTTAAAACCAACAAATGTCAAGTTTCCTTGGAATTTAATTTTTTTTTTAATCTTGAAGGTGATTTAAAAAAAAAAAAGCCCAACATTATCAACAGGGCAATTTAGTTACATTGAAAATTTGTGTTCACCAAATAATTAAAAACTATAATGTCAATTAGACAAACACTGCAAGAAATAATTTGGTACTACTAAGAAATGAAGTAGACACAATTTAATGTACAAGACAGCTGTAAGACATACCTGTTTTCTTTTCTCCAGTCTCTCTTGTTTTTCTTTCTCTTTTTCCTTCTCCAGCTCTTTGTTTTTGATGAGGATAGTAGGTTTACTTTTAGGAGTTTTTTTGTTAAGAATTTTAGCCATGGCATCTGCCCAGCCTGCATTAGTCCCAACATTAGATTCTGCTGCACTTTCATTTTCTTTGTCATAAGCTATGGTATCATCTTCATTATCACCTTCAATTGCTTCATCAGAAGAAAAATGGTCTTTGGTAACTTCCCAACTTCCTACAGAACCTTAAAAGAGAAGAAAACATACTAAACACTGATGTCCTACGTAAAGACTCAGGGAATGCAATCTATTATGAAAGGCGCTACAATGGAAGCAGACAGTCTAAGTTCAAGATCAGAAATCTCTGAGTAGCTGTGGAAAATCAGCTATACCCCTTGAAGTTGTCTTGTAATGGCTAAAAATGATAAAGCACAATTTTAACAGTTAGATGCCAAATTCGTTAGAAAAGGAGACTATTTCTGACCAGAGAAGGAAAATATTTTAGAGCAAACACATTTGCCAGGTATGCTTAAATTTGATTGTTTGTAATATACTATTCTCATGTTTGTTAAAATGGAGGTACTTTAGATATTAGACTCTTGAACTTATTATTTTTTCACTCTGTATATGTTATGAAAATTAATTCATTCGTCTGACAAACATCAAGGGCTTGGTCAGGTAAAAAAAAATTTAAATCCTCTTTAGTTCCTGCCCTTGAGTTTTCAGTTGGTAGGCAGATACATATAAAACAAATAAGAATGTGTGGCAACCACTTAAGGTGAGCATAAAGTATTTTGAGTTCAGATGAGGCAGAAATTGCTCCCAGCTGGAGAACATTCTACTTCTGTTTATATTTGCCTAAGGATTTTAGTCTGAAATGAAATCTGGTAAGAGATTGGAAATGAAATCTAGTAACACTGATCAACATTTTGGTCATCACCTCGGAGCTGAAAAGGAGACTGGCATAATGAAAGGTAAGCCAGGTCTCTTCCCAAACCTTCTGTCACTAGCCAGATCTTAACCCTCTTGTACAGATCCTTCATTCAACATCTCGTACCCAACACAATAAGTTTTGATTTTTCTCTAAAACAGAAAGGAAATCTAAAAACTCTTCAACAAAGGTTTCTCTGAGCTATTAATACAAACACTCCATATGAATATTAGTTAACTTCCGGTTTTACAAAACCTTTCAGTTATGCTTTACTTTCCACAAGAAAACTACCCAGAGCCACTATCATAATGCCAAATTATAGCCAACTTACTAAAGAAGATTCAAAATGATATTGTATATCTCTTTGGAAGTAGCAAAAGGAACACTGGACTTGAGTCAAAAGACCTGGCTCTAAGCTCTGCCACTTACTAGCTGTTAGACTTTAAGCAAATTACTTAATCTTTCTGGGACTCAGTTCCTTCATCTGTAAAATGGAAATAGAAGGTAGAGAGAGAGGAGGAGCCAAACGAGATAATTTCTAAAATCCATCCTGGGTCTTTCTATGATTCTGAGTCTGGGCTTTATACCATATACATGTATAAAAATCAGCAGTATCTTACTGATTCATATTTTCATCATCTATAATAAAATGGTGATATGGCATCTAACTGTGATATCTAATTCACAAAGTTAAAGTAGTTTGTTACAGCTATATAAATGTACTAGTAGTAATTACCAAATGCTAATGGCTAAATATGGATATTACTAGAGAGTAACTAAAATGACAGTAAATCTCATTAACTAGGGTTTTACTTTTAAGTTCTGGAATAAAAGATATTCATTTATTAACTTTTAGGTATGGTACCTTTTGGCATCATGCAGCTTCCAACATAATGAAAACAAGAAGTTTTAGTCCTTGCTTAGAAATACTAAGAAATCCCACAATCTATACTTTCAAACTGCAATGAAGCTTTTATTCTATCCATTCCCTCCAAAGGTACAGGAAGAAACCTTCTGCATGATTCTTACCAATGTACTCCTACAAATTCTCCAGAGGATCTAACCAACATTCCTCTAGATGTTTTTACATTTTAAGGATACCATATGTAACATGAACTGTTCATATATAAACCCTCAAATTATCTGACCAGCCTACATCTGTTTGCAAATTTTTCCTCACCTATATCACTTAATACCACTTTCTGCACACAGGTCATTGAAAATGTGCTGTGGGTGAGATGTGTCCACTGTGCATCTCTCCAGTGCAATTCCAATTTTTCAGTACTGGTGGTGTTCTAAGATTTGTAGCCATACAACCACACCAAAGGAACACTACTGTTATAAAGATGGATTTTTTTTCTCCCACTGGACAGTGGCTGGGCATCACTGAAAAGACTGCAATTTCCCAAGTTCAATCCAGCATGCTCCCACCCTTCTTACCATTCAATTTGGGGCAGTTTGCTATCCAAATACAGTATCTTTCCAAAAGGGTTTGTACCTCTGTACTCAATGGACTGACTCTAAAACTACATATTGTCATATCCTGGAAAATAAGCAGTTCTTACTCCATTTAGTTTTTCCAGAGATCACTGGACTAATTTCCTTTGTATAACTGAAGATCTTACTGAAGAAGCCCTGAGATATTTTGAGGTTTGATGCAATCGATATGTATCACGCTTAAACAGGTATATCATGAGGACTTCACCCTCTACAGAGGGATATGATTGTCAAGGGGAATGCTAAACAAGATATTTTATATGACATCAGCTAACGCATGCGGAGAATATACATCTGTCTGCTTTTTACCTAGGCAGATAAAAATCTACCAAAAGAGAACTGGAAGTTGCTGGGCACTGTGAGCGCCAAATATCCCAATGCATGAATTTGACTGGATCTCAATGACAAGAAAGGACCAGTTACTGATGTGGGAGCCCTATCAGAATTAACTGTCTATACGCAATCAGACTATTAACTGGCAAGAGCAATAGTCAAGATCAGCATCAAGTTAGGAGAAAGAACAAGGGTGAGAAACAGCCATTGAACAGCTTCAACCTGACCTCTTCAAATGAAATGAGGGCCTTTTGGGGTTTATTTCATGTGGTAAATGCCCCAAAAGTTAATTATCTAGAGCAGTGGTGGGGAACCTATGGCCTTGAGGCCATAGGTTCTCCACTCCTGAAGAGGAGGCCTACTGGTTGAGAAACCTTTCTACAATGACTCTTAATTCACAGGGACATGTGAAATTCAAACACTATTTTTTTTACTGAGTACTTATGAATATAGTAAACTAAAGGACACAATCTGCAGCTTAAGTATAAACATATGGCTAACTAATTTGCTAATATTTATTTCCCACAGTCAAAGAGGACATTTTCCAGACCAGAAATAATCAAAAAGTAAATAGGCTTTTTCCCTTCTTAAGTAGCAAGGTCAAGTGATCCATTAAGAGATCATGTCCGTCATTTAAGGTATATTCTAGTGCCTCAAAGTAAAAACATCCCTGACGAACAGTTTCTGGCAAAATGTTAAAACTACAACACTGACACCTAGTGTTTTGTCCTGATCAATTCACAAATGGACTCTGAATAAAAGTAGTCCTTTCCAGCTATACTGTGAAAGTTGCTTAATACTCAAGACTATATATCATCTAATGCTTAATTTCTCTCTCTTGCACCTTTCTTTTTCCCCATATCTTTACCCCTCCTCTCATCTCATTTTCCTCTTTCAAATCAAGGCTATCTACCTTTGAAACAATGTCTGGGACACTGTGCACAGCATACCCACTTATATGTTTGCACATTATACCTAACACTTTGTGATCACTCAATAGATCAAATAATAATGATGATGATAATGATAATAGCTAACATTTATATAACACTTACCACGTGCCAGACACTGTGCTAAGCATTCCATAATTATTATCTTATTTGATCCTCACAACAACCCTGATAATAGGTACTATTATTATTCCAATTTACAGATAAGAAAACTGAGGCAAACAGAAGTTAAGTGACTTGTAAGCTGGTAAGCAACTGAGGCCTAATTTGAACTCAGGTCTTCCCGACTCCAAGCCCCACACTCTACCCACTGTGCCATCTAGCTGCCCAATATTTCAATATCTGTAAACTAAAATCCTAGTCTGTGGCCATGAAGATACAAAGTTAGAAAGGTTTTGAGTACAGGCCTAGGAACAGAGAAACATGTCACTCATCTAAGGGTCAGCATAGTTATATTTGGAGAGCTCACCACTAGACAGCCCAAAACTGCATGACTGATGTTTCTACCATAGCAATTTAGTCTACAAAAACATAGAAGGTTTACAATCTGTGTTGGTAAATACTCTTTACCTATGAAGTCATAGATCCTTGAAATACTTCAGTATTTTCAAAAGCCTATTTTCCAATTCCACTGCCCCATACTCCCTATGTATACAATAACTATCATTTAATTATAATGTACATTGTATACAAACAACAGTTATTGTATATGATGACTAAATTATTGTTTCCTAAATAACATTTTTTTTCAAAAATGTGTTATTTAGATATAAGTAGTTGCCTCTTGCCATCCATTCCCGGAAATTCCCAAATAAAAAATTAGGTCTATTTCCAAATGGGGGGGGGGAGTAGAAGAGAGGTTATAAACTAGAAAAGAAAATACTTATCTTCTACTTAAGCTCACTTCCTGAAAAAGGATTTATATCACATTTGTTACTCCCAGACTCTAAGCAAATATTGACAATAAGAAAAAAAAACTGAAAAGTTTGTGCTTTGGTTTGTTTGTTTGTTTGTTTATTTATTTAATGGGGAGGAAAGTACAGAAAGAGGAAAAAGTCAATCATCTCCTCACCTCCCTGCCCTTACCTTATTTGGGTGCTGAGGAAACTTTCTTTAAGCTTTTTCTGGAATGAATAGCAAGGAAAAGGGGAAAGAGAGAGAGATAGTCCCAGACAAATAAACTAAGAGGGGAAGACACTGAGGTCTTCTCTGTAGAGAAAACAATTCACAAAGCACCAAGAAATTTCATTCTACTTTTCTCTGAAATTTTGTCATGGACCATCTTCACTGGCATTGCAAAGAGACAGACAAACCTACTATCTAAATAAGATTAAATATTTTTCTAGCTTACATACTTTTTTTTAACCAGTTTTACCAGCTGTGTTCTATTTAAATATAGCTTTGTGTACAACCAAACTAGAAAAGCTAAACGTAAACCTTTTATTTTTACATGAAGAACCAGCTTTCAAACAAATTTAAGTGTTTAAAAAGACCTTTAAGGTCACTGAGTTCAACCCATACCTGATCAAGAATC